ATTACTGAGTCTAATTTGATTAAATATTTTATATTATATTAAAATAGTCATCTATTAATGAAAATAATCATCAATTTAGTTACAATAACAAGTAAATCTAATTTTTCAATTCAGCATTTTGTAATATTATAATATTAATATTATATAATATTAATGATTTTAATAGATATATTTATTGTAAACACATTTTCCATTAAGTCTTTATATTATTTAGACCATTTACAATGAATATATAAATTAGTAAAATATAAAATACTGTTTTCTGGTATTTCTAAATATGCATTAATAAACACAATTACAGCGATCAATTTAATATATTTATAATTTTAATATAATGATTACGGTAATAGTTTAAAACAATATATTATAATTATTGTAACGTATATAATTTTATTAAATTATAATAATAATTTAAATATTTAAAATTATTTTATTGTAGTGTTGTTTGTATGAGAACTACAGAATAGGTTAATATGAAAGCCATACACAATATGAATGTTTTGCCATTTATTACAAACAAATTCATTGCATATAAACTTAGTCTCGATCAATAATCGGGATTTACAGGGTGTCCAAGTATGTAATACCATGTATTTTGTATAGACATTTTAATATGTTCAAACCAGTTAGTGACTTTACAGACATTTTAAATTTATAGCTTTTAGTTAATGTGGTATTTATGAGATTGTCACTGGCACATTATAATAAATAAATAGGGATATATACAGTCATTCCCAAAATAGAGCAGCTCGATTATTTTAAGAAAACTATACTAGATAATTTTTTGAATCTTTTATATTTAAACCACAAACATGGAATTTTGTGATATTTCATAAGAATAAACCAAATGGGGTTAAGTATTAGTATGTGTGTGAATGGATATACGGTGTAGTCTGTTTATTTGTTAAATAGATATTTAAGGTGTCGATGCCCGATAGCACCTACACTTTACGGGCCCTCACATTATATTAGCTATATTTCAATAATAATATCAATGATTATTCAATATCTGAGCCTTTGGTGGAAATGAGTTTAAAATGTGAGAAATTTAAAAACTTTGGTCTTTCATTGGGGTCACAAATACCACAACTCTGTGTCCAGACATTCAATTCAATACAACGATTAAAACGATTGCATTTAACTCTCAAATCACCCAAAGGGACGCAAGTGGTGACTGATTGGCATATATTTGATTCACTCAAACATTGGCCACAATTAACACATCTTTCACTCAAGTTATGGCAAATTGATTGCAATCTGTTTCGAGAGATCGGCGCAAATCTCATGAATTTGCGATCACTCGTCATACATGATATAAATCTAGAAATAAATGCCATTTGTTTGGATCACATCTCAAGTCTCCCTAAACTGCAATCACTAGTCATTTACAGCAATTCAGACGTAAACCTCAATGAATCGGATATAAAGGCATTTGTATTGAAAAGTAGTCCCAAATTGAAATCAATTCATGTCTACGACTCTGCAAATGTCAAAATGAATTCATGGGATATATTACCAGTAATGGTCACCAATTCAATGCAACCTAGATGTGGTGGACAAATGGTAATACAATACAATGGTAAACAAATTCATGAAATAAGAAATGTGTGAAACGATCATAATTTATGATTATTACCCTAACTAATGTCACTGTTTAACTTTCTCTAAGTTTACTATTTATATAATAAATATAAACATAATTTTTAATTCAACTCTTAATTGTAATAAAACTTAAAAACGACTAAAATAACACTCATTAATAAAAATTTCAAAACATTAAGATAAATAAATTATAAAATAATTTTATTATAAATTCAATTTCATATTATTTCCTTGAAAAAGCATATCTGTTGGGAACTGACAGCCGATGTGTTGAATGACTTGTTGTGCGGCGTATATCCCACTCTCGACGCAAATCTCTAACTCCCGGTTCCGGACTAACTGTGCGAAGAATCCGCCCACAAATGCATCGCCCGCTCCAATGGTGTCCACTATTAGACTTTCGTCCACTTCTTTCACCACAAACTCCTTGACATCCGGACAGTCAGTCTTTGCTACCAAAATGGAATTCTTTCCCTGAGTTATGACTACAGTTCGCCCCGACTTTCGCCGGCACTCCATATCAGCCGTCAGTCTTACCATTGTTTTCATGTCTGTTGTCTATTCAGTATTCATTAGATATTTGTGAGAAATTATATAAACATTTAAAAACTACTTTCTATAATCATATTAAATTATTACTAGGCTTGAGATTTTGAGTGTAAAACTGTAACTTTGATTATTAATAATTATATAATTTATAATTTAGCCACATTATACAAAATTGGATCAACTAATAGAAATTGTCTAAATTACTGGTACATCATTATAATTGTTGTTTTAAATTCTAGAAACTATCCAGTATCAAATATTATAAAATTAACTCTCATAATAATATAATGAAAACATAATATTAAAAAAAACTTAAAAAAATTATGAGTTCCCATACCTGCCACCCATTAAGTTCGGCAAAGGACTGCACTTCAGACTCATTACCAAACAGTATATCCACATAAGGAAAGACATCCAACAGAGGTTTATACAGCTTCTGACTCACATAAGGGGCCGATAGATTCAGACAAAACATTTTACCCTGATTATCATGAGCGTGTTTAGCCAGAAACATAATAGACTCGGGGTCTATACCCAAATGATAGCCCGACGTATAGAAAATTGTGGCCTTTTCTACATAACTATAATTTTGGTGCAAATGTGTGATCCGTATGTTCTGTGAAGCGCCTAAATATGCTATTAATGACCGGTTTTTGCCGCTAATAAGACAGGCACTGGTCCCGGTGCCGGTCGTACTGTCCACTAGACTCACAAAATTAACTCCCTGTGCGCTAATACACTCAGTCATAATACGGCCAAACTGGTCG